TATTTGCTCTTTAGTACATTAGTTCTGAAACCAAACTCCAAGGGCATGACAGAGACAACATAATAAACATCCTCGGGGTTTCAAGCCATTAGTGTACAATTTCAGGCAATTTTCAGCAAGGGCAGGATTCACAGGCGTCTCCTTGGGGAGAGAACGCTGTGTCCAAGAAGGAAGGATGAAAAGCCACATTAGTCACTTTTGGAAAAGACTGAAGCATTGTAGATTTGATTTCCATGTAGATTTTAAAGCTAACCTGGGCATTTCCCTCCTCTGCCCTGTGTCCAGTCTATGAGCAAGCATTTGGAGAGGGGTCCTATTATCTGGTTCATTTTGCTCCCCTCCTGGCAGGAAAGCTCTTATTTTTTTTCACCTCAAGCTGTCGCCTCTTGACTGACAAACCCTTTTGTGACCAATTATTTTTTGCTTTGAATTTTTTGTTGATACCATGTGTTTTCATTAATGGATTCATGCTGAATCATTGAGCGTGTCTCAGTGGTTAAGAACTCAGGCTGCTAAGCAAAAGGTTGGCAGTTCTAATCCACCAGCCGCTCCTTGGAAATCCTATGGGGCAGTTCTTCTCTGTCCTATAGGGTCACTGTGAGTCGGAATCGACTCAACAGCAACGGGTTTGATTTTGGTTAAAAATTGATTTTTTTTTCTTGTCTCATCCCACAAGTCTACCCTTACAGTCTCAAGGGACATACGTTGTCCCACAAATCTACCCCCAGAGTTCCTCTAGAGTCCACAGGGACATATGTGTCCCAAACAAAAATTTTCAAAATTTCTGTTTTTCCTACCAAAAATTCAGACACCTCGTACAATACCCTGTAAAAACAGTAATTTGTAGCACACGCCCGTTTCTTCAGCTTCAGACTGTATCACAGGCCCCCTCCTAACGGCTGCACGTGCTGTCAGTGGGAAAGCAGCTTCGCAATAAACCTGAGAGGTGGAAAATGTTGGTGGGCAACCATATATCCCAACATTCATGAAAGGTCCCAGCAAATGTCGACTTTATTATCGGAGGATGTTTTAGGCTCTGCAGGTAATTTTCCTGAGAGCATGATTTAGCAGCTCTGTCGGTCTGAAGCGACTAGAAAGAAATGTGATCCAGAGACAATGGTGGCCTTGGATCCCTGTGAATTCTTGCCTCTTTGGTGCTTTTTTTGGGTGGCATATTCTCTGGCATAGTCTTTTTAGTTTATTTTTTCCCCTCAGAGAAACTTAGTAGCTTTTAGCAAACACCTGTTTAATTTTAATTTAAGATAAGGTCTAAAACTTGTCCCCAAGGCCTTGCAAATGTTAAAAAGACACAGAAGGCTGTCAATCTTTCTGTCTGATACTGATTGAAAGAAGACACTCTTCAATGAGTTCAGTTGAAATAGCTAGTTTCCCAATTCTACAGACCATGGATTTAATCTGCTAAGCCCAAAGAGATTTTGTTTTTTCCTTCCTCTCAAGCAGTAGTTCTTAACTAGTGGTGATTTTGCCCTACCTTCCCCCCGCCCAATCCCACCCCAA